CAGATATGGAGCTTTAATAAGTTGTACTTACGCACAATCTACTTGTAATCTTGAGTTTTAAGTAATATGCATTAATAAACAGTACTTTACGCATAAAAGTGGTTTTCAAGAGTTTTTGTCAAATTCTTTATAATATAGTATAGATTTATGTGGTTTTGGAAACTTTGTTATTTTTATTTGTACATCACTTCGATATTTTGAACATGTGAATAAGAGCCGAGGATTTAGCCATTTTGGGGTTGATTTCTTGAATTTTATTGTTATATTCATTTTGGGCTGATTTATTTATCTTTCGTTTTACATTTTATTTAATCATATGCTTTATGTATGTGACTTGGATGTCTATACACTTTTTACAGGGGTGATCAATTTGAAATAAATAGTTGCCTTTTACTTTGATTTTTTCATTGACTTGTTAAAGTACTCACTTGACAATCAGTTTACATTTTGCACTTCATTGGCAAAAATCTAGAATTGCATGTGCTCGAAATTTTGAGACTTGCATTTATTTTTGTTTGCAAGTGGTTTTTATACGTTTAAAAGCAGGATTATTTGTTTCTGGAGTTAGGTTTTTCTTACGCACAAAAGTATGTGATAAGAATCAATTTGGCAAAATCAAGACTAGCGGCCAAAACATACCTCTAATCGGATGCTTACGGATAAATCCTGGAATTCGAAAACTAGGGAATCTCCAATGTCAAATGACAAGAATAAAATATCTGAATGAATGAAAATAATGGGTTGGCCGGCCCCCAAATAAAGCCGTACCCTAATCCAACAAAATAGGAAAACATATTTATCCTAATCAACTAATTAATTAAGAATAAATAAATTGCTAACAACCCCCTCTACTTGTTTCCTGCCTCTCTTTTGCGACGCTGATATATCCGACCCCAGTGTGGGTCGGGTTGAGCCGTATCATTACCCCCGCCCCGAAGATTCACCTTGTCCTCAAGGTGAAAGGCAGGGAACTGCTCCACCACCTGAGTGTACTGACACCTCCACCGCATCCAAGTGTGCGTGAGTTTCTGGTGTTACCTGTTCCCCCTCGTCATCTTCATCATCCATTAACATGATCCGCAGGGCTTTCTCGGGGCAACGGTGTCCGGGTGTGAACTTTCCGTCTCATCGAAAACATAAGCCCTTAGACCGTTTATCCGCCAGTTCCGAGTCTGTCATCTGTTTAAACGGCTGTTTGTTACCCCCTGTTGTCGGTCGTTGGCTTCCCGTTGGTGGGGCGGCCAGCGGCCGTGAGCCCCCCCTCCCGTCCGCACCGGCTGACTTTTGTTTTTCCCTTTTTCCGCATTCCTGACAGTTTTATTTTCATCCACCATAAGAGCTAGTTGAATCGCCCGATCTAAGTCCACTAGTTAAAGCAACCTCACGGAAGTTCGCAACTCCGATTTCAACCCTTTTAGGAATGTACCCTGCATAATCTTCTCAGGAATACCCCTTAGCTGTGCCGATAATGTTTCAAATTTCCCTATATACTCGCGTGCCGACCCTTCCTTTTAATTGCCAAAAATTGTTCGTATAGGTCCCCTTCCTGAGATGACTGGAACCGAGCCAACAACTGGCTTTTCAATCCTTCCCAGTGACGAAAAGGGTGCCTATCATCACTCCATCGGTACCATGCGAGGGCCTGTCCCTCCAACCCCAACACCTCCGCCCTCAACTTCTCCCCCATAATAACAAATCCCTGAACGTCGAAAAATCTTTCCATGAGGTACACCCACCCATATGCATCAGTTCCATCGAACAGGGGCATCTTCAGCTTACGAAGACGGTAGTCAGTCCCCGGCACCCACACCCGTTCCCCCAAAGGTCCTGAGCCCCTTCCATACCCGCTGCCAAATGGCTTATCAATCTCAGAAAAAGAAAATGTACCCGTCTCCAAAAAAGGAATTTCCTGAGTGCCGATGGGCTATTTCGATTCCTTTGTCGTACTGTTGGTTGCATGCCAAGGCGGCAGAGGCGCCCCATTCTCATCAAAAATCAAATTTGATTGCTGCATTATGGGCCGTGTGGTGCAATCGGTGTAGATTGGCGATGGCATCGCCGTTGTCGGCGGTGGTGGCGACTTCAACGCCTGGAACTGTTGCAACATGACCTTCATGATCTCCGCATGTCGCTTCTCTGTTTCAGTGCGCAAGGATTCCACGGTGGCCTCCAAGTTTTCGAATCGCTTCGTCGTGTCAGCGCGGAACTAATCGGCGGCAGGCTTCTGTTAGGACAACTCAGCTTCAAGATCCTGAACTTTGGTCATGGTGGCATGGACAAAATCACAGGCGCAAGACCAATGCTCTGATACCAATTTGATACGAATCAATTTGGCAAAATCAAGACTAGCGGCCAAAATGTACCGCTAATCGGATGCTTACGGATAAATCCTGGAATTCGAGAACCAGGGAATCTCCAATGTCAAACGACAAGAATAAAATATCTGAATGAATGAAAATAATAGGGTGGCCGGCCCCCTAAATAAAGCCGTACCCTAATCCAACAAAATAGGAAAACATATTTATCCTAATAAACTAATTAATATCTATCCTAATCAACTAATTAATTAAGAATAAGTAAATTGCAAAGAGCCCCCTCTACTTGTTTCCTGCCTCTCTTTTGCGACGCTGATATATCCAACCCCAGTGTAGGTCAGGTCAAGCTGAGCCGTATCAGTATGTATATGCTGCTTGTCAATTTGTTTTAACAAGGATGGGTTGGAGATATAGGCCCATTTTTTAGTGGGGAGGGGATTAAATTCCCCATACTCGTCAAGGACCGAAGGGGATAAGGGAAGTGACTTGGGGACAACAAATGCATTCCCCAACCTGTTCCCACCCCCCACTTCAGAGCCGCCAAAGAT